CTGCAATGATTGTAAGTGAAAAACTGTCATAAGTCACTTTTTTTCAGTGCCATTGTAACTTCGAACAGTCACTAAATGAGCTGTTGTAAGTCGAGGACTACCCACAACACGGGAGGATTAGTAATGGAGGATCATACTGATCACAGTTTGTGTGAAAACATGATTTGGTTTTGGATTAGCATATTAAGTCAAGCACCTGATTACTATTTGTAATTCATGATTGGGTTTGGTGAAATATGTAACCTCTCCTATTGTGATTTATTCAATAAACCATAGAGGAGCTAACCACAGCATAATAAAACATGCAAAACCAATCAACGTGTGGATCTAGGGGTGCCCAACCCCCAGTCCGTGGACTGGTAGCGGGCCGTGGCATGCCAGCAACCGGGCCGCACAAACAAGCAAAGCCCCATCTGCGGGATGCAGGCAGCACACAAAACCACGCCCCCTCCAGTCCACGGAAAAACTTCTCTCCACGTAACCGGTCCCTGGTGCCCAAAAGGTTGGGGACCTCTGACCTAGGAAGAATCTATGAGTTACGTCAACAAGATTCTCATCTGAAAACACTCACCTACACAATTCTACCAATGGCTATATATGGTTTTGCTGGGTATTTCCCCTGGATGTTTGTTTTACTAGTAGGCATAATTTTCTTGACACTTGCAAAATAATGTTCTATGTTTTATCATAGAACCAATATTCTACTCCTGCCCAGCACTTTCCCTGTGTTTAGAAATGGTTTTTCATATAATACACTATTTCAAAGTATAACATGAAAACAGGTACATTTATTTCTGGCTGAGCATGCAGTAACAATTGCATTCAGATTCATAGACTTGAAGCAAATCCAGGGGCATGGTATCTTGTAACATGTGTCACAAGAATTAATTGCAGAAGTTCTTGCATGTAACACTCACAAGCAGGATGTTTACACAAACCACCAAGTCTCTTCTCTCCCTAAAAAGCCGAAATTGGTTCTTAACAGTATAACGCATTGACTGAAATGGGCTTTTGCTGAAACACAGCCAATCTTAAGTAGCAAATGTGGACAGTATCAGCTAAAGACATCTGGCAAAAATCAATCATTTCAACAATATGAACATATAGTGTCTGCTATGACAGCTGCAATAAGCCACAAGTGTGCAACTTTTGAGGAGTGGAGAGCCGATATAGATTTGAATTGCTTGTAAGTAGTCATGCTGGAGCCAGAACAAAAATGTAATTAAAATTAAAATTTTATTTACATTTAAATACGTTTTAAAAGACTGTTTGGTCATTTTGTTTTATTAAGAAAAATAATCTGAAAACAACTTTGGGATATGTTTAGGGTCAAAACTAAGATAACGGAGCATTTTTGTGTCACACAGAAGAGATTACCCAAGTCTATTGTAAGGGAGGCAACTCAAGCATGCATAATGTTTGGCTGTTGAATGCAGGATAATTTATTAGAAATGCATACCTTTCTAAGGACTTATTTTATTATGGCCATTGAATTGTCCACAAGAGTGACTGGATTCATATATTACATTGATCCATGCTCTGGAATAAACTGAACACATAAGGACAAATCATACAAATCTCATTAAACTGCTCTAGTAGGCTGAATGTAAAATTTTCATTCTATTCATGCTTTTTCCATTGGCAGAAATTTTATTTATTTGCAGTTATTTTCTCCCCAGCTTTGCTATTTGAAAATGGTTAACAATGATAATTCAAAACAGAATTTGAAGTACAATGGTCTCAAAAGAGGGGGGAGGGGGTGGCAGGGTGGACCAGTCTATCAAAGACTATTAATCCTGAAGACTGAATGTTACCTCTGGAAGCAGCACTCCTCCAAATACCAGCAGGAGAACAAGGGTGGAAAAATGGTATGTCTGTGTTTCTGCCCTACTAAGCACCCAAGGGGCATTTGGTTGCCTATTTTCTGAGGAGTAAAATACTGGATTAAGATGACCAGCAGGGCTCTTATCAATATTTCAATATTCAAAAACCCAACATGTGCACTTTATTGCAATTGGTAGGGATAGAAACAGTCTCTCCCTGTGCATCTTTACGGCCACCTCTCCCACTTCTGGATTGCTCCCCAGCCTTCAGGGGAAAAGGCTGCTGGCAAGGATTGGCTCTTCTCTTATTTAACCAATGAAAAAGCTCCAGGGAATCAGAAGGCTTCCTATTTGGGATGGGATGGAGAGGGGATGTTTGCTGGAACTAGCTCAAGAAGAGCAGGAATTCTTGCCTTTACCTTCCAGATGTGTCTTAGATTTCTTAATGCTACATTTGGCTGATTAAAACTAATTTGCCTATGACTAAAACTAAGCAACATGAGGAAAAAAGTAAACTCCTTTGCACTTTGTGCTAAAATATTGGTTTGCTTATTCATGGTTTTTTAAATAAATCACAACATGCTAAGCCAAAACATAATTTTTACAGAATGCTAAACCTTAAAAGTAATTCATTTAGTTTGGATTTACTATGTTAGGCAAACAGTAATACCTCTCTCTCTCTCCCTCTCTCTCTCTCTCTCTCTCTCTCTCTCTCTCTCTCTCTCTCTCTCTCCCTCCCTCCCTCTCTCTCTCCCAGTTCTAGTGGCTTTGGTCAGCTTAAAAACTAAAATAATCTCTGAATAACACATGCCATTAATCATCAAGGCTCATTAAAGTTTTTAAACTCTTATAACTCACTCCCAGGAAAATCTGGCTTCAAGAAAAAGTCTAAGCATTGAAATGATATCTAAGCACAAACACCTTTAGTATTCACTGCAGCAAAGATGTTCAGTTTACAAATCTTAGCTGGATTAATGGAACTTGGAGGTATGCTGTAGAGGCCAGAGAAAGCCACCCAAAATGAAAGAATTTTGTCATAAATTAGAAGTATCTATATAAAAATAAAGTAGTATCAAGAGGTAGATCAGAGACAGCACTTATAAATGCTACTGGCCATACAATTAAAAAAAATATATCTAGGGTACCAAAATGTATAGTCTACTTTACAGAATAAATGCAGATTATTTCATGTAAGACTACATGAAGTTATTAGCTAACACTACACTGCAGTGCAGTATTGGATATAGAGAAGAGGAGGTGTATCCTATAAACAAAATGTAAGTAATACTTTAGGAAAAGACTTAGACCAAATCCATGTGACAAATTATACACACACTAAATTAAACCAAAATTAGTAGATTAAATTAACTGAATGTAGAATAGTCAGCATATTTTAGAGACAAGTTAAACTACTAAAGGAACTTAATGTCACCCTTAAATGCTTTGACTATTGATAAGAGAATTAGAAATTCACAATTAAATTGTGCTATTTAAGAATAAATGGTTTAGAATGAATTAGGTCAAAGTGCTCCTTAATATGCATTTAAAAGTTCTTTCCCAAACATCTCTAAGAAAATAATTCTTGCCCAATGAACAGCATATACTATTTCATACAAAGACAACCAACAATTTCTTCTCTGCAAATCTAAAGGGATAATCCCTACTGCTGGAATTTTTGAGACAATTTTATTACAAGGTTCCAGGATAATATTTAAACTGAACATTTTGAACTGTGATAGTTAAAACTTCCTGTTAGTTTTTTGAGTGTGTTCCAAAGCTAATGTGTTATAAATCTCTATTTTTCAAATTAGATGTATAATGTGTGGGCTTTGGAGCACACTTGAGGAAGTTTAATTCTCACACCCCACATTTCACTCATTTATGAATCTCTGCCAAACTCACCCACCGCCTGCAGCCTAGAGAAACATTAAAGGGCTCTATTTGCCTGGAATCTAAGGCATAGCATCCCTGGGCTTGGAAAACAGCGAGGTTGGTCCTTCTTATTCTTTGACAAGGATGCACTCAAGAGCACTTTTCACAGGGGCTTGTGTTGCTTTTCATCCTACCAAGCGCTTTAACCCAGTTAAGGCAATCAGCTCTTCAATCCACTCCTCCTAGGCTTGTCCTTCACCCAATCTAAAAGTTCTGAGGATTGGTTCAACAAACAGCCTATTAGGAGCGGCTCCTTTTTTTAGAATTCTGGCTTATAAAAGCTGCATAAATAGTTGAGCTCACCAGCAACTGAGGTATGGCCCTGACTGAACAGCCTATTAACAGCCACGAATGCAGAACACTATAAAGTATCAACGTTTCAACAGGGGAGATGAGAGGCGGGGGCGCAATAAAGATGCATTAACGTTTCGGGTGAAGCCATTCGTGCCAAAGCTGGGACTGAAGGGAATCACCACTAACAGAGTAATTCAACGATTTGCTCTATATCCCCCGTCGCTCCGGAACACATTACAGGTTTATTAGGAAGTGCCCTTATCCATTTCCCCTCTCCTCCCCCCCCCCACCCCCAGCAGTAGAGATGCAGGTCAACACGTGAAAGCATCTCTCCGGCTCGATAAATGCCAAGACAGTCAAGATGAAGGCAAAATGCGCCAGTATGTATTAAAGCCGTGGGTCGGAACTGATGGGGGGGGGGAGAGGCGGGCACGAAAACATAATCCGCTACTTTGAGGTTTGGGACGGGTAGTCCGTGTGGTTCATTTAAAGGTCAGCCTGCCGTGCGAACGCCGAAAGCTCGGTGGGGTTGTGCGAACGCAGCCAAAGCGCTGCAGTTCCGAGATGCCCGCCCCATCTCCTCCTGTTTTGACAACTGCTCCATTTCCTAGACAATGAGAAACTTGACGGGCGATCCGCCGCCTCGACCGTATCCTCACACTCCACTCTCCTCTGCCTCCGCCCCTGGGGCAGCGCGGCACCCGCAAAGTGGCTTGCAAGGCTCGCGCCCGAGAGGAGGAAACCCCGGCGCCCAGTTTGGGATCCCCGACCTTCCAAAACGAAGACCCGGCCTCCGACCTGCTGCTGCTGCTGCGGCGGCGGCGGCTGCTCTCCAAAAGCCTCCCAGCAACGCAGCAGCTATTCGTGGGCTTCCCCCACCTTCGCCCTCCCCCGATTCTATTGTTGGTGGTCTCTCTCTCTCTCTCTCTCTCTTTTTTTTTTTTTTTTTACCTGGTCGGTCAGTTTGAGCACTGCCATGATCTCCCCCGGGCTTTGCTCGGCCACATGCAGCTCTCCCGCCTGCAAATGCCAAGCCACGTTCCGAAGGGGAGACGCGGGCTGACAATCCTCCTCCCGCAGCAGCTCGCTAGGTCAGGAGGAATAAAACCCGCTGGTATTTAGCCAAGCCTGCTCTGATACAGGAAGTACGGATGCATTCAACCCAGCTAGCCCTGACATCACTCCAACACACTCTCCGGGCCGCGCTCGCTTTGAGCAAGAGCGCCCCTTGCCGAGCGTAGCTTCAAACTGCGCCTTGGCTCTCCCCTCCTCCTCTTCCTCTTCCTTCTCCTCCTCCATTTCCGGAAATGCGAGGCTGCTCCTGCCGGCTGCTGAAAAACCCTTTGTTCCGCTCCCTGGTGTCACCCGCCCCTCTCGCGCCAAATCTGCACTTTGCTATGGCGCTCTTTGCTTGGTAAATGCGCGATTTATCGGCCATTAAAATAGCGGCGGGATTCGGTGTTGTAATTCTGTACACGATGTATCTCCTTTCACGCTTCTGACGGCATTACGTTTGAAGTCAGCCTTTTTTGTCCTTGGAGGATGTCACTATATGAGCCGCTGCCTCTTGACTGCGGGTCGATCCTGGACTTGGGGTTCTTCTAGGATTTATGGCGAAATCCCCATTTGGTGAATTAATGGAAGGCAAATGAAAGATAAGGAGCTTTTTAGCGTGGAGTGGGGGGGTGACTAAATTAAGGTATATAAAATCCTGCATGATGTGGAAAAACTATTCTCCCCCTTTGGACAGGTAAAGAGAAATACTTGTTGACACAGTGGCTAGTTACAATAATGGAATTTGCTGTCATCAAATGTGGATATGGGATCCAATGTTAAAAAAGAGTTTTTGGAATTATTGGGGGAAGGATGAGGCTAGCGCTGGTGGAAGGCAAGCATCCAAAGCTGCTAAGCCTGTAGCTTTTTGAAATGCATAGTGGTTTTTTTATTAATAGCCCCTGAATCTCTTATGCGGGACTCTTCCTCAAGTTCCCCTGAACAACTTAAAGGACATACTCCAATGTTGTCTTGACCCCTTCCCACAAAAGTGATGGCTTAAATTCACCTGTAGCAACCATACTAAATGTACAGTTGTAATATAATAGGTCAAATGAATGACTAAGGCCATGTTGGCTGGAGGTAGTGATTCTCATTGTCTGATACTTGGAAGATACCATGTTGTCAGAGATTGTTTTATGTTATTAATTTTAAGTCAATTTTAAAGGTAATATTTATTCTAATATTTTAATAATTTATCTTGCTTTTTTTACTTAAGTCTAAGCAAAGATGGGTGGCATAAAAGTAATAAAATAATGTTGGCTCTATTTAAAAAAATGTGTGCTGTGTTCAACTGCTATTCTTTGAATAGTAATAATTTGCATTTGTTTGCTTTCATCTGTCATTGCCCTAAAAATAAATGTTGATAGGCAGCTGTGTACATATATCTTAAAAAAACTAGTTTGGAGTTCCCAGTTGAAAAATATCTGATGTCAGCAATAAAGTAACATCAGACAGGCCTTTCCAAAGAGGGGGAGCCTAAGAACCAAGAATTCCTTTTACTCAGGTACTATGAAAGGTTCATAAAATGTTACACTTGTTATTGGATCCATTAAACTATTTTCTATTTGAATAAGAGATGGGGAGGGCCAAAAGACATTGTATTTTCAGTTCATAATGTACATTCATCCATGTGAATAAAATCAACATATAACTTGTTTATTTAAATGTTTATATACTTGTTCCTGCTCCTTATGAATTTAAAAGACCCAGGGAAAAGGTAACTAACTAGAGAGATTCTCACAGGGCAACCTTAAAGGAACTTTGAAAAGCATCTTTGTCTTCCCAATGGGGTAAATAAGCATCAGGGACAGGGGGGAAAAAGTGAGACTAGTAAGCTACTGGGGTTTTTTTTTTTTTGCCCCTATGTAGCTTGGGAAATAAAAAAATATTCTTCCAATAGAAAATGGAAAGAAAACCACAAATTATATGTAAGCATCTGATGCACATTATTTTAGTCGAACTCCAAGCTTAAAATACTGTAAAGCTTAAAATGCGAGACTAAGTTTTCCATGAATCTTGTCAAATAAAGCTTTCTGTAAGTCTCAGATTCTTTGATATCTTCAAGAGCTTGAGAATCTTAAGTGTCCTAAGATTCTGGCATGTTTAAAGAGAATCTGAGGTAGCAATCAACACACAACTTTTAAAAAATGTGGCATTGGAGATTCCATAAACATTGCATGAATCCCAATTTTTCACTGCACATATTCATCTGGCTTGCTGTAGCCTTACTCTCCTTATAAATTAACAGGGAATGTTGTCCCTGACCAACAAATGAATGCTTTCCCCTGTGCTAACCCTTGATTAAAGTTACCACAATGTGTGAGCCTAGAACAGGCATCCCATTTAAACCCCGGGTTTGCAATGTCATCTGAAATTGAACTGAGTTTCTGTTAATCAATTGTCAATTTTCCTTTCCAATCTCCAGATAGTTAAGAGGGAACAGCAGCCACAAAATGACAATTTGAATGGCATCTGTTAACCACAGGCTTCATTTTTCTTTTACAGTGGGCCTGAAATGTGCTCAGTCTTTCCATTTTCCACATACAATGACTGCTATCATCAGTTAGACATCTGTGCCATTTGCCCCTTTTGAACAAGAGTGTTACCATGACCAGCCACGATAAAATTTGCTGGTGGATATTTGGTGTAATGTTTACCCACTTAACATTACATATTGTACACAGCTTCCCAATAACATTTTAACGCCACATATACACCTATTTTAATGTATAATCCAGCCATGTTTCAAGATTCATTAAATATCGAATTTTGAATTCATTACTGCTTCAGGAGAACAAGCCATAATGGAAGAAAACTGAGCATATCATAGGAAAATATTTGGTGGAGAAAAGAAAAAATAAAGACCCAAATCTCAAGGCAATTCAGTACAAAAGCCATTTTTTATAACAAGTGCTTTTTCAGGATAAAGACACAACAATCAAAATGTGAACGTTTCTTATTTATTCAAAAGCTAGGGTATGACAAAGACAATTAAAATGTAATATGCCACCTTTTTACATAAATTGTTTGATGATCTGAGACTTATTATATGTCTCCCTGCCCAAAAATGCTCACACACGAATAACCATTAATATTTTATACACAAATGTTTATTTCTCAAACAGCCCCTTTAAACACAAGGAACAGAATCTTAAATCCTCATCAAAATGCTTCCCCCCCCCTTCCCCATATTCTCTGCAATCATTGTGTTCTTGGTCACTACTGGCTTTAACATCAAAACAAAGACATGTTATTTAAAAATCATGCTATTGATTTCTAAGTTCTGCCTCTGACCATTCTAAGGTACTCTGCAGTGTCTTAAAAATTGTACATCACCAGATCTGAACCAAATATGGAATAGCTGTCTATTGAACACAAAACAAATGAGAAATAAAATTACAAGACATAATCAAGTTCATAACGAATGTAGGTATTCTTTTCATCGTTGTAGATTCGTGGATAATGTGCTATTAGAGCATCCTGTGAACCAATATAGATGGAATTATAAATCTTCCAGTATACATCTCTGACTTTTCTGGCAGGGTGAAACAAACCCTAGGAAAAGAATAGAACCAGAAATTAAACTGCACTTAAGTGAATCATCTTTCTTACTGATCATTTACAAAGAAATGGCATTTTATGACATGTCAGAAATCTGGGTATCGTGTTATTCAGTTTGATCTATATATTGTCTAGCTCATCCTTCCCAGAAATAATTGGCAAAACCTTTGAGAAGCAGCTTACATAATAGACCACAAGAAGGGAGTTGTAAAAGCCACATTACATTGATGCAGAAGTTCTTACCTGTAGCCGCCGCCTTTCTACTTAATTGCAAACAAAATGAAATTCTGCACAGAAATCCTATCAGTTGATTTTATACTTTGTGGTTTATGTAGTGTTTTATTAAAGTAATTCTGTTTATTAAGGCAAATGTATCGTTGCCCATCCTAGATATTATTTCTTATCATATGAATCATCTTGGAGAATTTCATTATATTAATTCGCAAACCATACACTTGGAATTTTGCTACATTACAATTCTTTTCTAGAGGTCAATATAAAGAAGTCTTGAGGACAGCTGTAGGATACTCTTCAATTAAATAGTTTTCCTGATTTAATATTCTTTTTTAAAATTATTCAGAAGCCTAGGCAGGCATTTTTATCCAACTTACCTGTAAACAATACTGCAACATCCGGCAAGGTCCAATAGCCACCCTTAGGCCCTCCAGTGCTCCCATAACGGCTTGGATGACATGAGGTGATGTTTCAAACACGTTGGGCCACACATAATTTAGCAAGTGATTCAGAGAGTCCTCACAGCCAAACCCATATACTCCAAGAGACATATGCTGCACAACTGCACTAGCTGTTTGCCTGTGAACCAGATCCCTGAAAAAGAAATTGTACAGGCATTATCAGTAACTTGCTCCCTATTTGTTTTTCTAGTCTCTTTCTTTCTTCCAGAAGTTGTTCTAATTTGATAAAATAAAATCCTTCAGTATCAAAACGTGACTGTTCATCCTTTTCTCTCCAATAATCTTGGGGTTGGTAGCAGGCAAGGTTATCTTCCTCCCTTTTTGATTCGAAGTCAAAATTGTGCTTCAGTACCACAAAAAGAAGAAAATAAATATTGCCAGGTCAACGAAATTCCTAAAAACAGATCAGCATAAGAAGGTGGCCAGTTTTAAGATTCTCAAGCCACGTGAAATATGTATTTGGTATGTTTCTATCATATCATCTTCAACAATTTTATCAAAAAGAGAAAAATTGAGAGGGAGCAGCAGCACTTCAGCAGCCCAATGAGCTGACTCCCCCAGCTCAGATAGGTTGCAAGACAGGGATAGGTAGGTGGATGGGTAGAGAATAAAAGGAACATCAAAGAACAGAGAACTCTAATCATTACCCTCGCTTCTCTTCTACTTACACAACCAGTGTACACAACCAGGAACCATATCAATAGAAACACCCTCTATCCAGCACCTATATGTGCTCTGGAGCTGAATTCCTATTCAAATAATTAAATAAGGTTAAGAAAGGAACTGTCTTTTCTCATTTCCCTTCTACTATTGGGGTAAAGGAATGTAATAGGAAGATTAGAATTTAAGATTATTAACTCCAGACCTTTGTAATTGCAGTATTTAAACAAAAGCTATATACTGTAGAATAACTCTCAAATATACTAATGATTCATTTATTTAAATACATAAGGGAGGCCTAAAAGTAATTATTACATATATGTATATTCCTCATGTCCAAGAAACAGAAAACCACATTTTTCAGCTATCTCAAGAATGTCACATCTCAATGAGGAGATCTCTGTGGTCCTTCCGCACTGTCACAATCATGAACCTAAGTAACTGGCTTAATATTTACTAGGTTTACTATAACCTGGCAAATAAGAGCAAAAGAAACAAAAAATAGTGTAGAGGGGAAAAATTACCTGTCCATTAAAGCATCTTCAAGTAAAGGGGTAACAGCGTAAATGTAGTCTTTTCCCATTTCTCCAATATATTCAAACAGGAAAGAAAGAGATTTTAATACACCATTCTGAACATTCAACTCTGGAACTCTGTATTCATTCATAAGTGCAGGCAGTACTGTAAAAGGGGAACAGGTTTCAGCCACAATAGCAATTGCCACTGTTGTACACACTCTGTTTTGTCGTTCTTGTACTTTCAAATTATTTAGCAAGGTTGCCAGCACATCATGTGGTCTAAAATAAGGGAAAGATAAAAATGTTAGAGAATTACAGTTAGAAATCTATCTGCCTGGCTACCTGCCTGCTTATCCACACAATTAATCCTTCTCAAGAAAAGACTTCTTGTAGTTCTGTTGACAGAAAAGTTTGAAAAGAGTAAACTTACTAAAACCATGGGCAACTAAATAAGTAACTTTAATTATTACAAAAGCTTACAATGATCATGGGGGAGTTCATGTGATAATTTCTGATACACAGTATTTTCCTTGGTAAAAATTCTAATTGTTTATAATTAATCCATTCAGAATTTTATTACATATAATGTGTAGCCAGATTATCAGGGTTTTTTTTTTAAACTGCTTACGTAATTCCTGTTCTCATTCTATTCCTCTAGTTTTTTCTTTCCAATTCTGCCACAAGATTACATTAAATACCCTCTTTTGGTTCAGATGTTAGATTCTGTTTAAATGCTCAAGAAGTTCATTTCCAGATAAACACACAAAATCTAAGCTAGGAGAAATGTTTCACGTGAGAATGTCTTACCACTAGCAATCAAATAGATACAATCACAGTGGTGTTAACTGTAGCATTACCTTTTCATTCCCCATTTAAACAAACCAGTACAGGAAGCTTATACTTACCCAATAGCTTTTGCAATATAACCAAATGTATTCACAGTAGCTCTTCGAATAGCTTTCTTATGTGCTTTTAACAACTCAAGCAATTCAAAGCAAATCCTCATCCATTCCCTTGCAGAAACATATTCTGCCCCTCTGGAAGGAAGAGGAAATGGTATTAATAATAGTAATACAGAACATTTAAATACACTTGCCAAATTAAGTGAAATAGTGGAGATCAGGTATCATCTATAGAGAGGGTTTCCTTTCCCCAAACCCTAACCTCTAAATCAAAGCACCTCTTCAAGAGGGCATTCTCTATCCTGACAGATGCAGTCACTCTCTTTATGCTAAAGTCTTTCTGTGCCTTACAGAAAAAGGCACTGAATAAGATGGGATTTCTAGGAAGGGGAGCAGCCTTGTCCTGACTTCTCTTCGACAGAGACAGCAGTCAGCAAGTTGGAAATTTTCTATAACTTTGAAATGCACTGCTAAATTTTGAGAGAAAAGCAACGATGGAAGGTATTTAATGAGGCACTGACAGTAGGCACATACAAGGTCTTCATCAGAACATTCAGATTTCATAAACTCTGTATAT